CACTACTGTGAGAAGAGAGGCCGCTAGTTTTTTCCGAGACCACGCAGACTGTGTGCCTTAGCTTCATAGAAGGTAGAGGAACAAGAAAAACAGACAAGCTCCCACGACAACCCTGTGAGGAGGACATGTTAGGTACTGTCTGTCTTCTGAATTCTGTAAGGTTGGTTTTCAGTAATGAAAATCGGAAGGGGCGAGCCCTTCTTTGATAAAAAAAATGACAACCCTGTGAGGCGCAAATCCTACTCAAGCTCAAACACACAATACAACCACAACACATAGGAGTATGTTCTAAACTTATCAACAACGGAAGCCGCGTCTCGACCAACGTTCATCTCCGAAAAACAACTCCAGAAGAATTATCCTTGCCGACGCACCCACCCTCGAGTGCCTAAAAGATAGGCCACTTTTGCGTGTTGTCCTAGTGGAATTAACTGAAACCTTTTTTTTTCAATCACCTGACGCGTTGGCGGTCCCAATTGATCTCCGGGAGAAGGAAAGGATCGATGGCGGCATCGCCATGAAGATGGGATGCGATCTCTCTTCGCGTCACCGCCAGATCGCCCCAGTGTCACGCCTGCACGACGGCATGAACAGGTTTTGCTCCATGGCTGCTGCAGCCTGCAGACGAGACGTCAGCAGCAAGAGCGGGAGACAGAAAGCTACTCAAGAACAGCGTTAAATCAGCAGCCACCCAACACTCACGCCTTCCGCCCGCCCAATAATCATAAGCCATCCCCGATAGCCCATATCAAAAGCCATTTTCTCAGGCATTTCATGTGGACCGACCTTTTTCTTCCACTTCTATAATGCCGTCGTGAGAAATCTCACTATGTTTACAGCAAAATGGAAAAACGATGTTGACCGAGATCACCGAGAACCGGTCTAGATCGGGTTTACATTACAGTGCTGTGTGATTATCCACCGGTTTGGTTTGTCGAGCCTGTCCTCCAAGTCCCCGGATCACCCAAGGCCCTGCTGCCGCCTACCGGATGGTAACGACGAGATTCCTGTCGACGAACTTGGCGCCCCCAACCTTCCCCTGCATCGCCGGGGGCAGCTTGATCACGCGCCTCTGGTCGCCGGCTTCGATCAATAGCTCCGAACCGCCTCTATACTGCATTTTCAGATAAAGGAACAAGTCGGTATATTATCAGCAACGACATTTTTTTTTTTGATGGTGAAGACAGTACAAATTTAACTTGGTGATCATGTACTATTGCAAAAATGTGGAATGGTTCTTCGCCACTATCTGGCAAAATTCTCAGATGACATGCAGGCCACTAACCGTGAGATCACAAGTAGCTACATGGTTTTGACCTAAACTAGTGTACATGAAAACCTAGTTTTTTGGTATCATATTGTTTAGAAGCTTCTTTTGTGCTGCAATCAAGGATGCCAAATTCATTTGAAATCATCTCACAGTTTGTATGGAGAAGAGGACAGACAATTATGGGAATCAGCACACACAGGAAAACGTACTTTGGTTTTAATATCAGCACAATCGATTTGCGGAACTGGTGAGAAACAGTTGGCTTGGTTGCAAGTGGCATGTACCAAACAAACTAAAACTGCTTAAAGCTTGATTTCATACTGAGAACAATCTAGAAAAGAATGATAGGCCCTTCCATTGTTTTAGTGAAAACTCCTTTGATGTCACGTGCTAGGGAAACTGTGCATTAATCTGAATATTATCAGGTAGTTCACCACCCAAGTGATAATTTTCAAGTTGATGGTGGGATTTTACCTTTCTGGTTAATATTTTTATCACTTGGACGCTAAGCGCTAACTAAAAGTGAAATTAACTAGAGATAGCTTCAAAGTCGAAATCAATTCAGCATTATCTCTAAACAACTAAAGAAGTGAACTTAACTAGAGATATAGGTCTTGTTAGTCTTGACTGTGTATACAGTGGAGCCAACAAAAGTGAGGTCAGTAGCTGTACCTGATATAGTTTGATCTCAGACTTGTCAAATCCTGGCATGAAAAGGGTCACCGACTTCTGTGCAGAATCAAAACTAACTGAAGGATAAACCTTGCTTGTATTCCTCAACAGCCCCTTTGTATTTTGATTCAATGAATTTAACGCTCTGCCCCAATCTGCAGAAGAATCAGTTGGCAGAAATGGCAGAGACGAGAAAGACAATGGCAAAAACTTCTCAGCAACTCCTTGGTGTATTTCAGAAGGGTCCTCAGCATAACCAAATGCTCCACATATTTGCGCGCCAGCTTGGATGGTGCAACCCCAGTATCTTAGCGCAGAGGACACAGAGATTGATCCTCTCGGGTCCATGATGAGGAAGCACGCAAGTTTTGAGGGATCAGTAAACCAAAGCGAGATTTTCTACAAAATTTAGTGTCTTAATCTATTATATTTAGCTAATATTTAAACATGTATGCACTGGGTAAAATAGTTTTTCTTTATTAACTACAGATAATGTACCTCAAGAAGTTGTTCAATTTCATTCCATATCTCTGCACTCATTCTTACTTCACCAGTTCTACCATTTGGTCTCACGGCATCATAAATCAGTTTCAGTAATGATGGAGAAGCCAGTCTTCCTATGTCAGTCTTCTCTGCTAGTTCCCTCACATACTTCAAATAAGATCTGTCTTTTGTGTAGCAGCAGCATTAAAATGCAGGGTCCTGAGTGAATGCAAGGCTACAGACAAACAATGATAGCCTATACCTTGCCCTCTCAGTAGCACCAGTCAGCCGCAGAAATTCCTCTGTATTATTGCAGTCATACACTACGACATCAAATTCCCCCTGTGGACTATTCGTTCCAACTGAAAAGAAGTTGAGCAGCTTCTGAAGAGACAAGACTGAGCAGATCGAATCCATTCCAGGTAAGACTCCAAGCTCCTCTCCTACAATCTATCCTATGAAAAAGAGCAACCCAGATGACTGCTTTATCCACATCTCCCATATTAGAGCAAATTAATCACCTACCCCCTCAAGAACTCCTTGAGTGAGATTGCTCTGGGCATCTACTTTCTTCAACCGGTCAAGGGGCTCAAGTAGCATCTGTGATTTAATCAGAAAACATTCTTCAGCACCAAGGCATTTTCCGATGTCATAAAAGTTCAATATGAAACATCAAAAGGAGATCACTTCACAAAGGTATTTTACTTTACTGGTCTCGAGCTTTATGGTCGAAAGATTAGCAGCACATTCAGTGAGCGAGTTCCCAATCTTACAGCCCATCAATTGCTCTGCTGTCGGGTCTTGCGACTGTATAACCAGGCATGTCTTCAGGCCTTCACTTGCATAATACTGCAACATGGAGAAAAACAAAGTGCCTGAAAATGCTTGCAATGGCGTTTTAACGACTTATCATACTTTAGAGTGGCATTTTTCTCAGCTCAAAAGTGATTTTTTGTAGCTGCATTTTTCAAATACGCGGATGTAAACTACCCAATTAAATGCAGTTCAAGGCATGAATCAACATTGTGCGAAGTGTAAAGATGATGTTCAGTAGTATAACCCAATTGTTACACCATTCGCCAAACGACCCATCTTGTAGATTTACCCTATCACATGCTACAGTTTACCCAGCTCAATGCTTGGAGCAGCCAAGCTGCTAAATGATTCCCATCTTCTACTCTAATTAGTATCTACTCGTAGTATACATTGCAGTCCAAACTTGGCTTTTATTTAGCAACAAATAGTCCTGCAGTTTTCTATCAACAAGACAACAAAGACAAGCACTGGAGGAAGGTAGTTTTTACCTGAGCAGCGATGGCGGCCGCCGTGGTCTTGCCGGAGCCTCCCTTGCCGAGGAAAGTCACCAGCTTCGGGGGAGTGCCGGCACCGCCGGAGTTGGCGATGACCAGACGCCGCCTACGGCCTCCCCGGCCGGCAACGGCGAGGATTTGGCTCGCCGAGACGAGCAACGAGGGCGCCATCCGCCGCCTCCCCTCACGATTCAGTTGGGATCCCGCCGGTGTCTGCTCGGCCTTGGTCTCCCTCGTTCAAGCTTAGCTAGCCGTCTCAGGAAAAAAAAAGGAGTTTGTATAAGCTCAGGATAGGGTTAACGGTTCAAGAACGCACGAAAAAACCCACCTTGGCCACGTCTCCGACCCATCCACCCCCACCCCACCCCCCACCCCCGAGAGTCCCCGTCGCGGCGGCGCCCAAACCCGTCGAGGCGAGATGTCGGACCGCCGGGAGAAGCGGCCGTCCGACGCGGCCGGCGCCGCCGACGCCGCCCCGGAGGCCAAGCGCGCCCGCGAGCCGGCCGCCCCGGCGTTCCCCACGTACAAGGACGCGCCCGACCTAGCCCCCAAGATCCGTCTCCTCTGCGAGATCCTGGCCTCCTCGGCCTCCGACGTGGAGGCGGCCCTCGACGACGCCGACGTCCGCGTCACCACCTCCGACGTCGAGAAGGTGCTCCGCTTCTCCTACGCGTACCCGCGCGGCGCCGCCGCCTTCTTCCGCTGGGCGGGCCACCGCCACCTGCACCACCAGCACTCCCCCTACTCGTGGAACCTCATCATCGACCTCCTCGGCAAGAATCGCCTCTTCGATCCCATGTGGGATACCGTCGGCTCCATGCGGGCCCAGGGACTGCTCTCCCTCGCCACCTTCGCCTCCGTCTTCTCCTCCCTGGCGGCCAGTCCCACCAGCTCCCCCCTCAAGGCGTTTGTGGAAATGCCCCGGTACGGCATGGACCGCGACACGCCGGCGCTCAACTCCCTCCTGTCCGCGCTCTGCCGCGCCTCCCGGCTGGATGACGCCCGCGCCGCGATCCCCGTGGCCCGTGCGGAGGCCGGCACTCGGCCGGATGCCGACTCCTACGCCATCCTTCTGGAGGGCTGTGAGGCTGCTGGCAATGCGGCCGTTGCACGCGAGGTGTTCGACGAAATGGTGCACGCCCTCAACTTTGATCCTGCCAATGTGCCTGCCTACGACTCTTTCCTTACAACACTAGTTTCAAGTGGCTCCTCCACGGCGCTCTCAGATGCGATGGAGTATCTGGCTGTCTTGCGCCGGTATAGGTGTTCACCGGGCGAGAAGTTTCTCCGTGCTGCACTGGCGGCACACCTTGAGGCACGTGAATTGCGCAGTGCTGTGGTTCTCTGGGATGACTTTGTCCTTCGCCGGGGGCTCGTCCCAGATAAGGAAATGTACAACACGATGATCATGTTGCAGGGCACTCTGGGGCATGCTGAGGTTACTGTGAAGTACCTCGATGACATGGCCATCTATGGAGTGTTTCCCGACACAGACACATACAATGTGGTCCTCAAGCTCTTGCTCAAGGGGAGGAAGCTCCGGGAGGCATCGGCAATATTTAAAGAGATGGTCAAGAACGAGTGTTGGCCAAATGAGGCGAATTGTTCACTTGCGCTCAGCGTGTTCTTGGATACTCGTGACTGGGAGACGGGGATCAAGGTGTGGAAATGCATGACGGCGAATAGCCTGCCTCCACTGGAGGAGGGCGGTAACATGCTTGTATCAAAGCTGAAGGATGAGATGTTGCCTGAGGCATGCAAGTACGCAGAGGACATGATCGATCAGGGTATCAAGTTGAGCTCCTCAACGCTGGCAAAGCTGAGGCACAGCCTAGGAAAGGTCAAGAAAGGAGACATTCACGACCGCTTGCTTGCAAAATGGAAGGCGCACTAGGTTCTTCTCTATATCATATACTGTATGGTTTGGGTTATGTAGGATTGGGAATAGGAGATGACTCTCTCAGTTAACGGTTTCATGATAACTTGCTTTGCCGGAACTATAAGAAGTTGTTAGTCATGCATATAGTGTTTGCAGATGTGGCAATTCAGTTCTGTAAACTAGGTGTGCAATTTAACCTGTCAAGTCAGAATGGTTTAGTAACTGAAGAGTGCAGTCTCCTACCATGGTAATGAACCTCTTTCTGTCGCCATGAGTTTCTTCTTTTGAAATTGTAGTGCTTCGTTTTGAGTTTGATTTATCTATTCCCCTTCTGGAACATGGTATGTTGCTGGACATGGCATACTGTTTACTGGTAAGTAAGGGTAGAAAAGAAGCAACTTATGAAGCCAATGGGGATGAGTATCAAATACTTGGTACTTTCCGCTGTATTCCTGCTACGTTTCTGTTTTGTTGATACTTGAAATTAATTGAAGATCGTAGGTTTGTCCTAAGTCAAACTTTTGTAATTTTGACCATGTCTAAAAAAAGTATGTCAACGTCTATAACACCAGGTTTGATTCATTAGATTATTTATAAATATATTTCCGTACTAGTATATTTTTTTCATGTTGTAGATGTTATCACATTTGTCTATAGATTTCGTCAAACTTAAAGAAGTTCGACTTGGGACAAACATAGAACTTCAGTTAATTTGGAACTGAGGGAGCAATTGGTAAGGGTGAACCTATGTGCAGTAGAGTGGCTACCGGTAATGTGTCATCACAAGATTTATTACTGGGGATGATGTCAATATTGTGCGAGCAATGTAATTCTGAGGGCTGAAAATGACTCTGCTTGAGAAGCAGTCCGTTTTCCTTTTATACAGAATCTTTGGTTCGGATGCTTGGCAAAAATGTGTTTATTCCGGAACTAGGCTACTGGAAAGCCGTTATCAAGCTTTACAGTACATGCAAGGCAATACAGATTACATGCTCACTTATAATGAGTTTGATAACCTCATAATTGTGGGTTGGTCAGACACTATTTTGGCGAGGTGTGTGAATATTAGGAATTTCATGTCATGTTACATCCGCACCCCCGCCCGGGGAGTTTTATCATGGAAAGGCTCCTAAAGGACAACCATGGCATTATCAATGATGCAAACTATTTGTGCCATGTTAAGAGGCTACTGTATGTTGAAAGAATCTTATTCCCAAAATAAAAATGTTAGACAACATACATAAACCACTTATTATGATTATGAACACGCAGTCCTCTATGCGAGTAACAACGGGTCAATTGGTATTGCGGTTTCGCTTACCAACGGGACAACGTACATAAACCATTGAAATTATGTTTCATGTTGTGAAAGGTAGAGTCCAGGATCAACATATGATATTCTTTTCACAAAGATTTGCGGTTCTGCTTACTAAGGCTTACCATCCATTTTGAAGATTATGTTGCCGGCATGGGTTTAGAAAGCCTTTCGATCTTGGAAATTAGGACCGTGAAATAAACCAACTCTCATAAAAGTAAAATGATATCCATTTTGAGGTAGAATGGTACACTGTGAGTATTGAGGTTCAATGACACCTCATTAGTCATTGAATATGATTTCTATTAAGAGTGGTCTTATGATGTTTCTTAACCTTACAATCAAGGGGGAGAATGTTGGTATCTAGTTATAACAAACTAAGAGATAAAAGGGAATTAAACCTCCACATATGTGCCCTGATCGGTGGCACCGAACAAACGACTTGGTCTCAATCCCGCGTCCCTAGCGCCTAATTTAAAAGGAAAAGGACACCTCTGGTTTGTAACTAACGACTTCCTGAAGGAGATGAAGACCGACTAACACCACATGCCACCTCCAAGGCAGTGTTGGTGGCATCTATTCCGACCAGTTGTTGCATCTCCACCAACGGATGTCGTGAGGGCTAAGCCAGCGGTGCTCCTAGACTGTTGTTGCTCTTCACCATGCTTGCATCTAGCAGGCAGGGGGAGGTGTCTTTGCCCACGTTGTCCATGGCCATCTCAGGTAATGCTTCCGCTCTTTACCTATGGTGTTCTAATCTTGAGATCAAGATAATATCTATGTTAACCCTAAAGACTCTTCTAGCATCGGTATCATGAGCTGGTTTGATCTCTATCTAGAACCCCAATTAGGCCTATTTGCAATATGTTTTTTTAAGTTATGGCCTAATTGCCTCGCGTTAATGCTTTTGATCATGTTCAAAGTTTAATGGCTCTCTATGAAGTTAATGATATATGATTAGGATCAAGAATTCTAGTGGTAGTTGATCAAGTTAATGCAAAATTAGATGTGCTTTGCAAATTGAATAAATCACATTGAAGAAAGCACTAATGTTTGCCCAAAATTCCCCAATCAAGAAACCCTAAAAATGAAATCCTCAAAAGAAATGAATCGGTCGTCACCTAATGATGCAGCATTGGTGCTCTCCTCCGGGATCCTGACGTCGGCGACGTTGCAGTCTCTCAGGACAACGCGTGGAAAGAAAAAGCCAGCGACGCTGCCCTTATGGACGTGAATGTTGTGTGGCACCCGCGTCGCGCATGTCGTCATCGACCACCAAAGATCAGGACAGGTGGTCGCCTCCCCGCCGATGGCCTCGTGCGCATCGCAATCGCGGATTAGCTCCCGTGATCACCATGAGGTCGACATGGCTGGCGCCGTTCGGCCGAGGAGTGAGCAGCCTTATGACCAGGCACATGCTCCAACTAATGGGGCTTCCGCACTGCCATAGCCAGTGTGCCTCGAGTCGCCGACGAGATTGCCTCTCCTGTCGGAGCCGTAAAATTTGGGGAGACGAGTGGAAATGAGGTAGGGTTTGAGCCAACGCCTGTTTTGTTCTGCCTCGGGTTGATCCAGACCATCTATTCGATCGAAAGGTAAATATCAATGCGGAGCTCACGGCGGGCTGCGGGGGCATAATGGGCCAAGTGTGCCATTGGGCTAGGCCCAAGTTGTTTCAGCCAACAGCCAAACATTTTTTTTCTCTTTGATGATCTTCTCAGCTCGGCTAAACTTTTAACGGGCGGTCGTTGGTATTATGGGCCAACATTGGTGTTATGTGCATTTTTTATTTTATTCAATGCATTTCTAAATTATGATTATCCTCAAAATGTTTTTGCACTATTGTTAACTGAACATAGTCAGAAAAACTTCTTGTAACTCTTGCTTGAGTTTTCTGAGTGGAATGGAACCAACAAGAAATTTTGCTTGGAAAATTCATGTGCCCGAAATCATGTAAAGTAATGTTAATCATGATAAACTTTTCTTAAATAAAAGACATGGGTTATTATGGGCTAGATTATGTTATTTAGGCAATTTTCTATTTTTGGTGCATTTGAGTTAATTGTGTGAAGATATGTTAAGATCATGTTTAACTTTTGTAGTAGGTGATTTTATTTAGAAATTTTTATGTGGTAGCCATGTTAATACCTTTTTATGCTATTTTTAATGATGGTCGTTTTAAGAATGGAATGTTAATGTCATAAACTTGTGTTTATCGTGACGAGATTTCCTATGCTTCACTCTAAATTTTCTAGATGTTTTATTTGGAAATTTTATTTGAGTATGAAATTTATATTAATGATGTCCTTATGGAATTTCTTAATTATGTGATCAGTACTAATGGGATGAGGCACCTCATGAAAACGTAACTGGTCGTGTGGTGCGGTTTATGGTGCCGCACTATGCATCTAATAATGTTGGGCTAGTGTGCTTGTTGAGAAATACTAATGTTTTACATTGATATTTTCTATTGTATAATTAAGATATGCACTACTGAGATATGCATAATGGCCCAAAATGGTATTTATAAAATTGGGATTTCTATTTCTGTGCCCCTCTTCGCTTAGTCCTTCTCAATTTTGCCCATGCACTAAACCAGTCCTCACTTATCCCCTCCATCGCGTGGCCCACCCTCGCAAGAGCCCAAACGGGGGTTTGTCGTCGGGTCAAAGTCTTTGACCGTTACTGGACGTGGTTTCTGACTCGTGGGACACCCCTGTCAGTGGCTGCCCGCTCGTAAATGGTGGACACATATACTGACTTGTGGGACACCTCTGTCAGCGGTTGCCGCTCGTAGATGGTGGGCGTATATTCTGACTTGCGGGACACCTCTGTAAACGGCTGAACGGTCGTAGATGGTGGGTGCATATTCTGACTTGTGGGACACCTCTGTCAGCGGCTACGCGGTCGTAGGTGGTGGTCGTAGTTACTGGCGCACGGGACACCTTTGTCGGTGGCTTCACGGTCGTAGTTGGTTGGCGCAGTTACTGGCGGGACACCTTTGTCAGCGGTTGTACCAACCGAAAAAAGGTGGCTTATTAAGCCAGGAAGATTACTCGAACCAGAGACCACGCGCTCAAAGAGAGGCGCAAGAGCGAACCGACCAAGTATGTGTACGTGACTTTTGAAATAGTCCTCGCCATTTTATGCACTAAACAAAGCGAAGCATAAACCAATCATTTACTCACTATATGTAATATACCATCGGGGTGTTAATAGTTTTCTTCAAGCCATTTTGTGTGGTGGATGCACTTTAGTCAACCAAATTAGTTTAGTACAGAAATTTGATGAACTAAGACAAGCATTGAGACAATTTTACCTTAAGTCTGGGGGAGTAATTTCACTACTATATGTAGGTGAAAACTCATTGGCTAAACCAAGAATTTTCTATCTTCCAATAATGACATAAAGAATCTTGGTGTTGTCTCATGCATTAGTCGTATGGAGATTCATCGAGAAGTGGGTCCAAAAAGAGTAAAAGTCCTATTATTATGACATACGTGGAAAATTATGAAAAAAATACATTATGTGTCAGTACTCTTCCCCACCTACTCCTAAAATCAAGGGTCATAGAGTTTGACATTTAGCGTCTAAGAAAATATTTAAAGCTGACCAGGTAATGTTGATTCCTTGTGCTTTAGTTGTCATAAGAACCTTGTATGTATTAAGTATGAATGCACCCTCTTATTTGTGCTCGGGG